CCATGCAACTCCCACCAGCCCTCTGGGTTGTCGGTGGTTTAACGAATTAGGTATTTCCTCCTCCGTTTTCTAAAAATCCTTCCCTTCGGGGAATGGTACCCTCCCACTCCCCTCCCTGGATGTTGCTTCAAGAGGGGGCGGGGGGGGCGATGTGTCAAAGGTTTCTTTCTCGCCCAAGACAGCTCCAAGGGGGCCTCCGATACTCCAGGATGGCCCCCAAGATGCTTCAAGAGAGCTCAACATAGTTCAAGGTGGCACCTATCATGCTTCCCCGAAGCCCGAAGAGGGCCACAGTAATGCTCTAAGTGTTCTCGGACGCTTGCAAGGACCCCCCCTCAAGAGGCCAAAATCAGTGAACGGACCATCAGAAGCACTGCTGTCCCTTCTCGCCTTTTCGCTCCCGACTGGTTTTCGAGGCATCTTTTTTGGGGGGGGGCGTCATAGTTGCGAGACCTCACATGAGCTCAGCAATGTAAAAAACCCTGCCCAACAGCTCAGTAGTACTGCTTGCCGCCGCCCCACTTCTCGGGGATGTCCCGAGAGAGCCCCAAGAGGGGCCGAAGACAGCCCCAAGCGCGCTCAAGAGCGGTCCAAGAAGCGAGTTTGTCAGTCACAAGGGGCGGGGGGGACTGAATACAAGCGCTCCCCTGTTTTGATCCGTGGGGCCCAAAACTGCTCCAAGAGGTCTCCCAGCCCTCCCAAAAGAGCCCCACGAGGATCCCAAGAAGGCCCCAAGAGCGCCAAAAGGGCGCCCTGAATGGCTCCGAAATGATTCCGAGAGGTCTCCTGTAGACGTCCAGGAGGCTCGCGGATCGAAAGCTCCGCGAAGGCTTTGTTGTTGACTCGTCGCTATCGTCACCGTCATCGTCGACTCCATCTTGCTTCCCCCTCCTTCGACTGGTTCGTATTTTTCTGTTTCGTTTCTTTTTAGTTTTATTCCTTGCCTTTTTGTTTCGTACGCTGGTTGTTCTTCTTCCTCTTGTCAACAGTTTTGCTGTTGCATCCTCTCGTCAAAGATAGGGAGCCTCCCCGCCCCGCCCCGAAGGGGGGGCCCAGAAGTAAAAATCCAGGAGGGCCCCAAGGAGACCCCACAGAACGCCGCCATGGCATGGGACTACCGTGGAGGCCCGACCACGAGGAACCTTCCACAAGAAACCCAACCCTGAGACCCAAGGACGTCCATCGACGTTTGGTGCGGGAGCGTTACGCCTTCCACGGCAAAACCACCGAATCCCGAGAAACCCAGGGCACCCGGAAGACAAGCAGGGTAATTCTTGGCATGGGCCTCTACTGTATCTGTCAAATCAGGCAACAGATGAGCGACGATCAGAAAAGGGTCTTGCGCTTAGGTCGGGCCTGTCCTCCTACAGGCGGATTTTAATTGAAAATGAAGACCTGCGAAAACAGCATTCAAACATAATGAAGAAATACTGAAAAGAGCATCAACCTACAACTATTTCCCAGTATTCTTGAATGATACTGGAGAACAAACCCAAAGCATTATCTTTTTAAGGCTATAGGGCTATAGGGCTACAAGGCCATGGGGCTATAGGGCTATAGGGCTATAGGGTTATGGGGCTCTAGGGCTATAGGGCTGTTAGGGCTGTTAGAGCTGTAGGGCTATAGGGATATAGGGCTACAAAGCTATGAAGACATAAGGCTATAGGGCTATACGGCTATGGGGCTGTTGGGCTATTGGGCTATAAGGGCTATTAGGGATATAGGGCTAATTGGGGCTAATTGGGGCTATAGGGCTGTAGGGCTGTAGGGCTATAGGACTATAAAGCTATAGGGCTATAGGGCTGTAGTGCTATAGGGCTAACGGGCGCCTGGGCACCTGGGCGACTGGGCGCCCGGGCACCTGGGCACCCGGGCGGGCCGCCGAAATTGGCGCCAAACCTCACCTATCCATATGACACCCGAGAAATCCCAATCATAATATGTTTAGGGCTATATGGCTATGGGGCTATAGGGCCATAGGACCATAAGGCTATACGGTTATAGGCTACAGAGCTGTAGGGCTGTAGGGCTATAGGGCTATCAGGCTAAAAGGCTAAAGTGCTATAGGGCTGTTAGGGCTGTAGGGCCATGGGACTATAGGGCGATTGTCCATAGGGCTATAGGGCTATAGGGCTGTAGAGCTATGGGGCTATAGGGCTATGGGGCTATAGGGCTGTTAGGGCTGTTAGGGCGACTGTCTATAGGGCGATAGGGCTACTGGGCTATAAAGGGCTACAAGGCTTTAGGGCCATAGGGCTGTTTGGCTATAGGGCTATAAAGCTATAGGGCCGTAGGGCTATAGGGCTATTTGGCTATAGGGCTATAAGGCTACTAGGGCTATAGGGCCATGAGGCTATCATGGCTATTGGGCTATAGGGCTAAAAGGGCTATAGGGCTATATGGCTATAGGGCTATGCGGCTATAGGGCTATGCGGCTATAGGGCTATAAGGCTATAAAGCTACCGGGCACCCGGGCACCCGGGCACCTGGGCTCCCGGGCACCCAGACACCCCGGCACCCGGGCACCTGGGCACCCAGGCGTGCCGCCGAAATCGGCGCCAAACCTCACCTAACCATATGAATCGGCTAGGACCCCTACAGAGGCAAACTCTGATTGAGGAATGAATCCGCTAGGACCCCTACAAAGGCAAGGTCTGATTGGGGAATATTCCTCCTGTAGAGGGACACGCCCGACTCAATCTTACGCGGGATGACACGGCGACCTTGCGCGGCGTCTCACGCGGGCCGCCAGCGCGGCACGCTGCACTGAAAACGAGGGCGCTCACGCGCGACCTTACGCGAGCAGCTTACGCGCCAATGTCGGCGCAAACGGCCAAGTTTTTTGCGTCGCCCAAACGCTCCCGCCATCTCTGCGCCCCCGACTCACTTTGTCAAATCAGGCAACGAAGGGGCGATTTCGGAAACCCCGAACCCAAACAAGTTTTCATCTCTTGGGGGGGCATCCTTTACTTCCGCCGCGCTCCGCCACCCTTCCGCTGACGGAGGCAGCCTCGTTTTACTTCGGCCGCCTTCCGCCGAGGAAGCGATGGCAACTCATTCGACTCGCGGAGGCAAGGCCCTTTTTGGAACGCCCCGCATGCTCCCGCCGTTTCTGCGCCCCCGACACACTTGCAAGGCGGCTGTCCCACTGCATGCTTTTGCACTCCCATGATCAAGGCAGCTCGCCTGGCGATCATTCCTGAATGGGCGGGTGGGGATGCTTTTTTGATCGCGAGCGTAGCGGAAGTGCCGAACGCCGTCCGAAAGTCGTAACAGTCTAGCTACGGCCTAAATTGCGCAAGCGGGAAGGGAAATAGAGAGAGCCAACGAGAGAACAGCGGAGAGGAGACAACAGGAGGCGGGCCTTGCTGCCGCTCAGAAGTGCGCGAACGGGTGGGGATACGCGAAGCGTCAGGGACTCTGATGATGATGATGATGATGATGATGATGATGATGATGATGATGATGATGCTGATGATGATGATGATGATGATGATGACGATGACGATGACGATGACGATGGTGATGATGATGATGCTGCTGCTGATGATGATGATGATGATGATGATGATGATGATGATGATGATGATGATGATGATGATGATATATCTGGCGAGTCCGCGCCGAAAACATGCGAACGAGGCAAATTGCGAAGGCGTCTCAAAACCGGCCCCACACGAGGCCGAGCCACAACCCAAGCAAGGCAAATTCTGAGGATGTCTCTGACAGGGTCCACTACCAAGTCAAGCCAAACAAGGCCACACTGGGGGCCCTCCCAGGCAAACTCAGACGATGTCCTGAGCGAGACGCCCCCAAACCTGGCTTCACCCATGCTCCGTCATACACTCATGAACCGAACTAAACTCGGAAGCGGATGACCCAAGGGGGTCCCGCCGCAGGGGGTCGTGTAATTAGAGCGCTTCGGGCGTAACATAATGCATTTGCCTTCGGAGTAGCGTTTGGAGAACGAACCCCGTGTCTGTAGAACAAGTGTATGTCTATCCGCCACCATGCCGCTTGGCACGGAGTGGGCGTGTCCTCAAGTCCTTTTTGCCTATCCTCTAAGCCTCAATACTTTCAAGGGCCCGGAGCCACAATTGCAGAATTTGGCAGGGTTTCTCCCGTTTGTCGCGGCTTCTCGCATCCCTTCTTCGGAATCAAGAGGGCCACAAGACAGGCCAACAGGGCGCCAAGAGGCCCCCCGAACGGTCCAAGAGTGCCCCGATCCGCCGAACGATCGATCCAAAACGCGCAAAACGGCCCGAGAGGCCCCCACGACGCCCGAAGAGACCCCCAAGAACCTTCTTCCCAAGAGAGCCCCAAGAAGCAACACTCCCAAGGATCTCAAACTGAACCGACACGTTCGCCAAGGCCCACGCGGCCGACCCCAAAAACCTTGAATCCGAAAGCGACGGCGTCTTGCGTGCACTTTTGCAGGGGTTCCGCCGGCGGAACCACCGCCGTTCTACCTCCACCTGTTTTTGTCGGACGTGAAATGCTCGGAGACCGAACTCGTTCGCAAATCGTTGCCCGAGGCATGTGAGCGGACGAATGGGGGATCAACGGGTGCATTGACAGCAGAAGGAGGTCCACGAAAACAGGGAAGCTCTCATGGCCCCAGCCATGACATCGCCCCGTCAGTCATGCCGCCCCTCTTGGCCGCGCCCGAAATGTGCCGAAGGTGAAAGGCGATACCCCAGCAAAGCTCCCCAATAGCAGCTATGGTGTGAAGTTTCCAGATGTCCCACATATGCGAACGAGGAGGATGATATTGCTGATGGCCCTGATGATGATGATTCTGATGATGGTTATGGCGAACCCCGCGATCGTCTCTGAACCACGAGGACGATCTCAGTGGACCGCGTGGACAGTGGAGTCGTTCGGCCCCGTCCTGGCTACAGGAAAGGCCGAACGACTCCACGGCCGCGCCAGGGAGACAAGGATTGAAGGTGATGACATGTGTCCCTCTCGTTCTGCACGCGCGGAACATGGCGCGCGCAGCAGGCTGAGCAGCGCCGCGGATCTCAGGCGCACAGCGGCCATGAATGCACGGGCGCAAAAAACTGAGCAGCGCCGTCGTCGCGAGAGCATGGGCGCAACAGGCTTAGCAGCGCCGTGATCGAACAGATGAGCGGCTGACTGCAGGACTTTGCAGTTTGCACCGCGACGCCCCGCGGGATGCGCACCTTATACCCGTACTTCTAGGCGGCGCTGTCGAACGCCCGCACGGCGCACCTGCCAGTCTCGTCAAGAAATCGCGGAGTTGGCTTGTCTCCACTCGCGAAACTGCCAGTTGCCCACATGCGGGGCCCATTCGGTCGTTTCTTGCTAACTCATGACACTGCCCGAATCCCCCGGCTCTGGGTCGTTGTCGTAGTCGCCAGGATGTCCCCGTGAAGCGCCTTCTTCCATCAGCTTCGAAGCGGCAGCCATTCCGAACGCGCTGCTACAAAATCTGCGAACGTATTGGGCAGCGCCGTAAAGCTCATTGCAATCCCTCACGCGGTCTTCCAGATCAGCAGCTCCAGGAGGCACGTCCGCGCCGCGATATGAAGCCGCGCCTTTCACAGAGTCGCCGAGAAGTTTCAGGATCGGGGCAAAAACGGCGCACTTCTGCAACCTGCGCGCGGTCGTTCGCGTCGGCTCCACTTTGGAAAATCCAGCTTTCCAGCGACGCTTGGCATACCGCCCCCACTTTGCCTGTCGCATAGCGGCCGGGGCTCCCACAGCTCACGCCGACTGTGAATTGCACCGTGACGAAGCCGCTTCAAAGGCAATGGCAGGTTCATTGTCGCCGCCGATTGCAGCATTCGCAGGAATTGAATTGCTGGCGCTGCTGGCGGCAAGTTGCACATCGTGTCCCGGGCGTTCCAGGCGCGAGCGCTTTGCGCTGCTGCTGACTGCGCGCTCTGCATCTTCGCCGCCTCCACGATGATGCGCCAGCATGGTAGTAGTGTCTTGGGCACGCTGGCAAGGGGAAACTTGTGAAGCGTGATTCGCTCCCGTAGATAAGCCGATTTAAACTCGTTTCCTCATCATTGCGCCGCGCAGCGAAGAGAAGACTGAAACGAAGGATTGCAAAAAGACGGACGAAGGATTGCAAAAAAACGAAGGATTGCAAAAAAACCAAAGGATTGCAAAAAAAACGAGTTTTGTTTTGCAATCCTGTTTTTTTTTTTTGCAATCCTTCGGTTTTTTTGCAATCCTTCGGTTTTTTTTGCAATCCTTTTTTTACAATCCTTCGTTCAAGAGATGGGTCGAGAAGCCAAATCGGACAGGTGATCGCAGACGTCATGGCGCACAGGAGCCACCTGCTGATCGGCTGCCGCTCCCGAGAGGTCGGGCGGCCATGGCGGGCCGGAGTTCGTTGAAGCGAGTGCCCGGATGCCGTGGGGCCAAAACGGCCACGATTAATACACGAGGGGGCAATGTATACGGCAGGTTCGTGTCGTGCCGACCCCAGCGTTGGTTTTTGAAACCGCAGGGATCGTTCAACCTTGAACGATCGGCCGCTGCCGCAACGTCCGATCGTTCAACATCGATCGATTCTGGGTCGCCGGCGGCGTTCAACCTTGAACGCCCGCGCTGGGGTCGCCGCTGGTCGACACGACGCAAACCTACCGTAGGCAGATGCGTAAACAAAAAACAGAGGTCCGAACCCCAAGAAAATGGCGACACATGGGCAAACACGGAACACACAAGAAGGATTCGGGCCACAGGCGAGGGACAATGTGTGGGAAAACGCGTAGACACACATCGGACCCGAGCCACAGGGGAGAAGCAATCCATAGGCACAGGCGTAAATCATATAGGATTCGGGCCACAAGAGAAGGGCAATCCATAGGCACATACGTAAAACACGTAAGATCCGAGCCACAGGGGACGGGCAACCCATATGCACAGACCTAGATACACATAAGAATCGAACCACAAAAACAGAGCAATCAATCTAGAGGCACATACCGGAAACTGAAAAAATATTCGAGCCACAGGAGATGGGCAACATATCGGCACACACGCGAAACACACCGGATTCGAGCCACAGGGGCGGGGCAAAGTATAGGCAAACAGATAACACACACACACACATCGGATTCGAGCGGCAAGAGAGGGGCATCGACAGGCACGTGTGTAAGACACATCGTTGGCACACGCGTGGAATCCACAAACACACGCAACATTCGAACCACAGACAACGTGCGAGCTAGAGGCACATACCCAAACACGTCAGGTTAGAACCTCAAGGGGGGGCTATAGGCACAGACGTACAACACCCAGGATTCGAACCACAAGAGAAGGCCCAAAACACGTCAGGTTAGAACCTCAAGGGGGGACTATAGGCACAGGCGTACAACACCCGGGATCCGAGCCACAAGAGGCCAAAACTACCGGCACAGACGTGTAAAGCACACCGGAGTCGAGCCACAAGGGAGGGGTGTGTGCGGCCCTCGGGACCACCATGCTGCATGCCTTCATCACGGGCGGCTCGGGCACGTAAAAATACGCGGTTCGATACCATGTTGGATACACCCCCTGTGCGGCTCCAGCTCGGGACGGCCATGTTAGATACCTCCTCTGGGTGGCATGGGCACCTGAAAAACACGTGGCTCCAGCCTGGGACAACCATGGTAGATACCCCCATTATATATGTCTTGGGCACGTACGCCGCGTGGTTCCAGCTCGGAACGACCATGGTAGATACCCTCCCGGGTGGCACACGTGAAAACACGCGGTGTCAGCCAACGGGAACCATGTAAATAGCCCCGTGTGGCCTGACCCCCCCCCAAAAAAAACATGATTCCAGCTCAGGACGACCACGTTCGATCCCCCCCAGGGGGGCATGGACACATGAAAACACTACATTCCAGCTCGGGACACAAATTTTGGATCCCCCCGTGGGTGGCATGGACACATAAAACACGTGGCTCGAGCCCTGGACAACCATGTTAGATACCCCGCTGTGTGGCCTGGACATGTAAAAACACAAAGTCCCAGTTCGTGACAAATATGTTCGGTACCCTCCTGGGCGACATGGACATTTAAAAACACGCGGTTCCAGCTTGGGACAACAACCGTATTAGATACCCACCCACCCCCTGTGGCTTGGACGTGTAAAAAACACGTGGTTGCGGCTCGGGACAACCATCTTAAATACCTCCCAGTGTGGCCTGAACACGTAAGATCGCATGGCTTCAGCGCGGGACCACCATGTGAGATATCCCCTGGGTGACCGGGACACGTGAAAACACTTTGTTTGAGTCCGCCCCGGCAGCGCCCTGGTCAATGTGGACCCGCCGCTTTGCCTTGGAAGCGTTTCCCCATGGCCCCTCCTTGTGGAGGTTCTGGTGAGGGAATTGTCGATCTCTCCACACCCTCTAGCGAAAGGCTATGGGGGAATCGACGAACACTGTGTGAAGTCCACGCTGATTTTTTGGATCGGCGGTGGAACCCCCTCCGTGGTGCGCGGAACGCGTCAGGGGCGGCACTGGAGGCGCCGCCAGGGGGCTCCAGCGCTGATCCAGGAAGTCCGCGTGGACCTCGGAACGTTTATGCTTAAGTCATTGATTATTCCTTGAGTACGTTGAATGCCCCTTGTGTGAGCACCTCACGGCAGAGCACACCTGCAGCATGATGGGGCGGATCATGCTCTCGCGGGCCTCGCCGGGACTCGGGTCGCGGTCCATCATTCCGAAAAGGTCGCCGCCCGGGCAGTACGCGCTGGTAACGTATGTGAACTCATAGTCCCGGAAGACGCCAAGCTGCTTGCAGGCGTATGGGAAGCCTCCCTCCACTGCTACGTTCGGCCCCTCGACCTTCAACGATCGAGATGCACGTATGTTTCTACCCCGCTCTTGGCGGACACTGACCCTCCAGAAGCCGCCGAAAATCCCATGGGACCTCTATGTGGGGACCTCAATAGAGCAAGATCCAGAGCGACATTGTAACATACCACCTCCCGACCCCTGTCCACCCGCGTCCCTTCCTGTCCACTTCCCCTTCCTGATCCATCCCCTCCCTGTCTTCCTCTCCCTCGCCTTGCCCTGCGTCCTTCTCCGTTCCCTTCTCGCTCCGGCATCCTTCCATCGCCGCCCTTTGTGTTGCGTTCTGCTGATGTGATGCCCCCACTAAGGGCCCTCAACCGTGGCAATTCACTTGGCCAACTCAAGCACCAAGCAAAACCAAGACTGCTACATACATGCTCGAAACTATTACAACCACATGGGGGTCGCACGCGCTACATCCAACTGTCCGCAGGGGGGAACGGTCCCCAGATTTCGAATCGCGAGCGTGAGCTGCACAGGTTCCATCCATACCCGCCACATGAGTTACATAATGACGCGGGAGCGCACGTCTTGTGAAGATCGTACAAACGACTGCGCTTCGAGCGCGGGCATGCCCCGTCTGATGCAGGCGCACCCATGGTGCGCTGACGTCCTCAGCGCCTCGACTGCTAATCCCGGCGATGGGCGTCATTCGTTTTGTGGCCAGAACTTTGGGCTGCTGGTTTTACAATTTCGTCGAACGCCAAGCCCCTGACAGCAGCACTGAGGATGCCATGGCAATATGGAGACTGTGATTATGTCACATGATCTACACTATCTGCAAAACAGCCCGATCAAGGTGGCACATCTCCTCCATCTTCTCCCAGTTCAAGGGGTCTCTTCGGCAAGGCCTTCTGCAATGTCCCCCTCGTGCTATCTGTGACCTCGCGGCAGCGTGCGCGCGGGCGGCGGGCGCTCCCTTTTTTTTTTTCCGTCGGCCGAAGCGCAAACCGCGCCCCAAAGTCAGCTCAGGCAAACACCTCCTTTGAGATGTCAATCGCTTGAGCCAGACGCCCGCGGCGGCGGGTGAACGGTTGATAACATGACGCAGGCTGAAGTGAACGTCGCCCCCCCCCCCCCGCGTCGGGCACTGGGGCAGCCGCGCCTCCGCGCGCCGGCCTTCGGCGCGCCGCGCCCGGGAACGCCGCCCGCGACAACGTTTTGCAGCGCTCGCCTTCCGCGCAGCGCATGCTCCCGCCGCAAAGGCGAAGGCCTGGTTGCTAGACAGACCCCTAGTTGAGTCGACGAGCCCGCGAGGCACCCCAACGCTGATCGCTCAGTCGCACAAGTTTCATCGCGGCCCTCGACGACCCCGATCGCCTTTTACCCAACCGCCGTCGCGTTTGCCTCTCTAGTCTCATTTCTTTTGAAACTCGCATTGCCACGAAGACTTGCCGCGCTTATCGTTCCACATTCTAGACGCGTCGTTCCGCTGTCCAGACTCGTCCTTCCGTTTGTCTCCGCGCCCGCCACCCCCTGAGCTCCAGTTGCCACCGCTGGCGCCGCCGGCTTCATGGCGCCTGCTTTGCCCGCCCGAAGTCCAGTCGCCACAGCCAGAACTGCGATTCTGATTTGATATGCTGTACCATTTCTCTTCATCTTTCTCGCAAGTCTTGATTTTGTTATTTCCCACGCCACCGCCAGACACGTAGGCGTTCCTTCCTCCTCTGCCCACGGCCTTACTCTGATCGCGCCCTTGCCCCTTAGGCCGGGCCGCGTTACTTCCAGCAAAGGCGCCATCGTTCCCGCCGCCTTCGCGGCGCCTTCCGGTGCCCGACTCCACTGCGGGAGGCGTGGGGCGGGGGCAGCGCGAGTTTACCTGTCGTGGCCTCGGCGGCAGCGTGATCGGCGGGAGATCGACTCTCCATGTCGGGGCAACTCTTTAAGATCAGATGATGATCGCTGCGAACCACGCACCACGCCCATTCAGGACGCGATGTATCTGCTTTCCAGCGTTCGCCAACGCGTCAGCATCATCGAGAAACCAGACCCTACCGAGGATGTCGAGGAGACTTCTGAGATCCTTTCTGGATGGATGAATCGATCCCCTGAAGAATCCTTTTAGCAAGAAAGAAAACGCGCGGCCCATCACCGAACCCATTTCGATGGCACATTCACGGGTCCATCTTTCGCCATGGAACTCCTGCACCGCGATCGCAAGAGATCCGCGGAACACCGGGCCCACCTGCCCATCATTACACATGGCAAGAGGAACAGCCGACATACGCGAGACTCCCACAGTCGCGTTGGCGATCTTTCGTGCAAACAAACCGTGGTCGCCTGGAAGCCAAGGCTCGCTCCTCAGGTTCTATCTGCCCGAACACGGTCCGTCCCTTCGATTCTCATACGTTTGATCGTCCCAGAACACTTGTCTGTATCTGGCAAACGCCACCCGAGCACGTTGTCAATCATGAGCTGCCCGGCGCTTTGCTCCACCTCTTTGGCGCTTCCTGCTGCAGCCAGCACCTCAATGAAAACAATCAGCAAATAATGATCCTTCTCCCCCCGGAAACAAAAGGCCCCAGCCACGGCATCATCGATGATAGTATTCATCTTGGCACGCATCTCAACAAAAGTGATAACTGAATATATTTCCTTCTGAAAACGTTCTGAGTGCTCGAGCTGATGGAACGTGGTGTTTCGAGACAAAGTGACAATCTTCGCGACAGTCAGATTAAGGCCCTTTCTGGCGGACCATGCGTCCCAGTCCTTCTTCACCGGATCGGCTTCGCCCGCCATCTCGGGACCGGTGAGGTCCCAATCAGAAGCGTCGATGGCGCCGACATCGGGGTAATAGCTGCACCATGGAACAAAGGTGTGAATGCCGCGCAATCGTGTCTCTCTCGTGTTCTGTTCTGCACGATGTAGCCTTAGCAAAGTTCTTGGGCCACCTGACTAGCTTGTACAAGCCTCTCTGCGCCGGGCAACGCACAGACTACAGGTTTACTCTGCTCGAACTCCTGGGCCCGCGCCAAGTGGGAAGCAGCTGTAGGACCATTGGTGCCCATGCCTCGCAGGGAACGCGAGCACCGTGACCCAAACGAAGCAGTCCACAACTTGGTTCGTCGCCTTCGTGAAACAATTGTGTTCTCTCCGCTGCCTCTTATGAGCGGGGACTTCAGCGCTGGCCGCATCAGTCAGTGCCGCGTCTCGCTCAGCCGCGCCAGCTGTGGAATCGGCACCAGGGAGCGATTCAGCGCTGAACGCTCGCAACCCTAGCTCCTAGCTGTTGCACCACTGGTGTTAAGTTCTTCCACGGGTTAACGGGGCACGCGACAGTCCCCGCAAAAAGGACACGCAAGTGCCCCGAATCGCAACTGATTGCAACGGCAGCACCATGCAGATAATGCCTCATCCTTCCACAGAATCTTCTTCAACTGCTTCTGCCGTTCCACTGAGAAGCGGCAGCCCTGGTCCAAAACCCTCTCAATTGCCCGCCCCTCTTCCAGCGCTAGAACACAACCAGACTTCACCATAGGGAACATTTGCCATTCGATGGAATTGCGATCCTTGTTTTTTTATCCACGTCGCCTTGGCACCACCAAGCGCCAATCTATAGGCGCCAGACACTTCGTGGAAACCAAAACACGTCTTGGCGATAATCGGGAACGAGGCGCTTCTGGCACGCAGGCGCGCGAAGCGAGTCGAGCGCCGTGCAAGCAGGGGCACGCCGTTCGTCAAGCTAAGGGAGAAACAGAAAGGTGAGCGGGCTGGTGGGGATACTTTTTGGTCAACAGGCTCGCGAGGCGGGTCGAAAGCCGTCCGAACACTAGTCGGGCCGCGACTAGGCAGCAGGAGAAGAAAAGGCAAGCGAAACGAACGAGCAGGCAACCACGCAAAAGGAGAGCCATAACCGATACTCCCGCCCGGTGGCGTGGGATATCCCCGTGGCGACCAGCAAGTAAGCGCAGCCGAAATGGCGCGGCGGCGCGACCATAAACACGCAGAGGTCGATCGCTCGGTGTGAGTCAGGCCAACAGCATCGTCAGAGACGAACTAGACCGACAGGCACACCCAGACAACATACTGGTGGGAATACGTGAAGCGTGAAGAGCCTCGGTCTGCAATTGAATTAGGCTGCCGTCTTGCAGTTCCCATGAGGCAGCCGCGGGACGACCCGCGGGAAAAAAAACAGCGGGACAACTAGCGGTACACCCACAGGACAGTCCACGGGACGACCGCGGGACAACCCCAGGGAACAACCCTCGGACCACCGCGGGACGACCACGGGACGACCACGGGACGGCCCACGGGACATCCCACAGGACAACCCCGCGGGCCCCGACGAGACGGGAGGGTGGCCCCAGCCTTGGCCGACAGGTCATCGCCCCGGCGTGGCCTCGCCTCGCCTCGCGCGCGCGTCGCGGCCCAGAGCCGAAACCGACTTCCAGGCTGGGGCCGATGCGCTCTCTCGCACCTCGGCTTCTCCGGTCTCGGAGGCCCTCTCCGACGGCAGTGCCTCCGAGGCGGTGACGCGATCAGGGCTCTCCCCGCTCTCCCCCTGCGGGCCTCCTCTCGATGACGCTTCTGACGGTGCTCGTGGACTGCGCCGTGCAGCGCGTGCTCCGCGTGAGCACGGGAAGGAGCGAATGCAAAGCCTCTCACTGGTGAGGCTCTCGCCAGGCACGACATATAATGAACCATGTGCCATTCCTCCACTACAGTCTCAATGTATCCCGTTCCCTCCTCCCTCCTCCCTCCTCCCCCCCCTCCCTCCCCCTGCTCAACCCTGCCCGCCCAACCCTCCCCGCCCCTCCCCGATGCCCTCTCCGCTCCCTCCCCCCTCCGTTCCCTCCCTCCGTCCACCCCGCCCAACCCTCCCCATCCCTCCCCCATCCCTCCCGACCCTTCCTCCACTCCCTAGCCTCCCCACGTCCTTCTCCGAGCTTCCCCCAGGTGTCCTGCCTGCTACACCGCTCTCTCCTCAGCGACACCCTCCTCCATTCGCCCTCCCACCTCA